ACCCAAATCCAGATCCTCAAATTTATATCTCCAACATTGGCCTTTCCCTGAAGTCCAGGTCCTTGTATCCAGCCACCTACCCCCTTCCCACTTGGATGTCTAACAACATTTCAATATGATGTGGCTGAAACAGAACTATGGATGCCACCCATCTGCCCCTAGTTGTGGTCCCCTCACTTTCTTCATCTCAGTAAATGGTAGCCCCCTCTCATTCAGCTGCTGGCTAGAAGGCTATCCTTAATTCCTCTGTTTCCTTCACATTCCGCATCAAGCTATTTATCAGTGTGACCTGGTGGCTTCTCCTCCAAAGCATGTCCCAGAGAAAATCCCAAATGAGATCATTTGTCACCGGTCCACAGCTGCTGAGTCCCGGTCATTGTCATATCCACTGTGACTGCCTCCTAGTTCTCCTTCTGGACTCTACTTCTGCCCCACTCCCCTTATTTTCCATGAAGATCTTGCTAACATTTAAATCAGACCATATAGCACATCCCCACTCAAAAACCTCAAAACACTTCTTGCACAACCCAAATAAAAACCAGGACTCCTCACTCAGAATATGAGGCTGACGGGATGGGCCTGACAGTCTCGACAGCTCACCGCCCAGCACCGCCTGCACTCCAGCCACACAGCAGACCGTGCCCTTCCTGCCTCAGCATCTCCTCCCTGTTTTCTACCCAGAACCCTCTCTCTCCTCATCTTTGCATGGCGGCCTTTGCAGCTGAAATAGCACCTTCTCAGAGAAGCCTTCCCTGACCATCTGGTAAAAGCAGCCACTCCCACACAATGACACCATCATCACATTTTATCTTCTCTGTGGCACTTAAAAATTACTTAATTTGGAGGCCAAATTAGAGGAATTTCCCTGTGGGGTGAAAAAGGTGTATGTGTGGTCCCATCTGGAAAGGCCCAATGGCGTCTTGGGTGCCCTTTGAACCACACAGCCAATGACGATGGTGGGTTTCTAAGTGCCCACCCTGCCCCTCACCTCATAACACATACTGTGCACTCTACTCTTTGTGGAAAACAGATCTAGTCGCCCATGATCCTGTTGTAGGCAGGTGATACAATCTCAAGGGACTGCAGAGAGCTTCTTTTCGGCTGTTCTTTCCACAAAATGGGATTACTAACACCTGTTTGGACCCTCCGATGTAGTCCTCCCCTGAGACTACTGAGAGAGCAGTGATTCAAACAATGCCTTCCCTTGCCCATTCTGTCCTTTGGAAGGTTTCTCGAAGGTCTGTGGACCACCTGTGTCAGTCTCTTGGGACATTTGTTACAAACAGGTTCCTAGGCCCCATGCGAGAGCTGTACAGCTGCATCCCTGAGGTGGAGCCCAGGAATTTCCCTGGGAATATGCATGTGCAACAGGCGCTCCAGGTGATCCTCATGCACACTTAGTTTTGAGGACTGCTGCTTTAAGAGGTTGAAAAAGTTTAAGGCACAAGTTCTCAGAGCAAGGTAATGCTAAGCACCACATTTCAATGATGGAACTGTGATTTGAAATGTGTGTCCTGTGGTTCCACTGCTAGGCATTGCTATGAGTCTGACCCAAATACTCTGAATTCAATCAGAGTTGCCTCCGGAAGGGACCACTGTAGGATAGAATGGCGCCGGCCTTGGTGAAGTTCAGGCTCATGACTGCATCTCGTAATTCTACACTGAGGGCTCACTAAGCCCACACTGGGAAGCTCCTGACCCCAGCCACCACTAAGCATCCCCTTGGGGAAGGCACCATGGAGGAAAAAGAGGGATTAGGGTGCACCTTTTTCTCCATTCAATGGTTGATTGTTCAAATCTTTCTTTCCTTTCTTTCTCTTACTCACCTCCCCCCCCCACACACACACCCGTCCTTCTTTCTTTCAATTAAGTGCTTGGCCCTGTGCTGTAACAAGAACAGTATAAAAGGAAGTAAATTTCTCCTCTTTATATAGATACCTTCTTTTGAAATATTTTTATTTCACTTTTTCTAACAGCAATATAGAAACAAATAATCATAAAAAATAAAATTATAAATTGTCCATCGATTATGTAATAGCACTTGGTATTGCTACAAGGAGGCGGCCTGGGGCCGGGTCAGGCCATCTGAAACCTGCCCAGGCTCTCCAGGTCTCTGTGATCGCTGCTGAGCCCATGAAGGCATCAGACATTACCACACACAAAGTGTCAATGGAAACTTTGGGGGGTGACAGGGAGGTGGGCAGATGAGTAAAACTGCAAACAGTACTGTATACATGTGGTAAGCCAGAGGGTGATCTGGGGGGCTGGCATCTCCTGCCCCACACGAGGCAGGGGATTCACAAAGCTGAACTGACTTGGTTAGTTATCTGTGTTCACTGTGGAAATAAGGAAAGTCACAGACACTGGACAACAGGTAAGAAAACACACCTGTCTTCTCCCTTCCACCTCTCTTCTCTGACCCCCTCCTCCTTCCTTATCCCAAAATAAAGTTCTCTGGGGGTGAACTAAGCAAAATAGCTGAGATATCTAACCTATCCAAAAAAGTGTGCCTTGAGCTCAGTTTACACACACACACACACACACACACACACACACACGAAGGAAGCATGAGGCTAACTGAGCAACTAAATCGCCCGGTTGACTCCAATTCAATTGGGAAAATGAAATTCACTAACTTTAGTTGCTTTTAACTTTTTCAGTTACTGTGAATGACTGATTTCTAGAAAGGAAAAAAATCAATTTGGCTTTTTTTTTTCTTTCCGGAATATGGAATGAGCTTTCCTGTGTGAGTATGTGTGTGTGTGTGTCTCTATAGCCTGCGTGGTGAGTGTGCAGTGCATAGGCCCTCCTGACACCCCACAACCTCAGGACTCGAAGAAGCCTGGCAGGAAGGCCTCTGTAGAACTTGGCAGTGCTTGTACCTATTCCTGAGGAGAGATACCACTAAGTAGAGAAAATCTCCCTCTTGTCCTGCCAGAGGGGCTGACCTTCCTCCGAGGTCGCCATAAATGAGTCCTTTGGGCCTCGGACTTTTGTCACTGCTCAGAGTTGGGCCAAAACAAATCTGACCACGTGGTTAAAAGTTCTTTGAAGGAAGCATAAACCCTCCAGCTCTCTGAAATCACAAGGAAGAGGATAACTTCTTTTCTGCCTAACTAGGAACCATTCATTTGCATCTTCCCAACCCACAAAAGAAAAGCAACTGCCCTGGACAGTGTGGCTCAGCTGGCTGAGCATCGTCAGTGTACGGAAAGGTCACCGGTTTGATTTGTGGTCAGGGCATATGCGAGGGTTTCCGGTTTGATCCATGGTAAAGGTGTGTAAGAGAGGGAGAGGCATCATCTCCCTCACATCGATGTTTCTCTCTCTCCCTCTCCCTTTATATGCTTAAATATATATATTTAGAAAAAGAGAAAAGCACCTTTGGGTCCTGGTGTGTGTGTGTGTGGGTGTGTGGGTGTGTATTTCAATGAGATTATACAGGAAGACAAAACATGAAAGTCAGAGCAGCAGGACACCTTACTTTGACTACAGATTCATGTTTGGTAATATGTGTTCTGTGGGTCTGCTGTTCAGACATGGCTCTGAGTTTGACCCAAAGATTCTGAATTACAATGTGGGAGGTGCACATGGGGGCTGAGTGAGGGGGGGAGGGAGTAGAGGGGTTGGCAGTTTGTAGGTTTGGCAAAGCATTTAGGACCATCTTTGGAGTTCAAGTTCATTGATACATGATCTGTCCAGGCATTATCAACAATGATTTAACATACCAATATTCTATAGCCACTAATGAGCTGTGTAACCTGTGGGAAGTCATTCTCTCCTTTCCTGGCTTCACCTTACTCCTTTGTGAATGAGAGGCCTCAGCTAGGTGACATCAAAGGTTAAAAATTCCCAGCTGCCGGGGAGCACCTGGCATGTGGTGCTCTCCCAGGTTAACTTTCCTAACCTGTTCAGGTATCAGTCATCACCTTCTTGATTCTCATGCCTGTAGTTAGGAAAAACCTTTTAAAATAAAATCCTGAACCTCTGTACTTGACCTACCCAACTGGCTTTGCTATTTGGACAAGAATCAAACAGTTATTAACAAGTTAGTGACAGATTAGTAACAGTCTGATTCAATTAAAATTAGTCATTTAAGTCAGGCACAGCATCTCATAGGAGCTCAGTGCGAGCGTCTGGGCTCCCTCAAGTTTTTCTGGGGAGGGCAAGTAGGTGACGTAAGTGACACTGTCAGAATCCACCAGGAGGCCTTTGCTGGCCCCTGGGAGAACTCAGTTATGGGAAATCCATGGACAGACCTGCCTGGTTCAGTCACCAGTGGTCTCCTAGGCACTCCCTCAGGGTGGTGGGGTGTTGGCAAAGGGACTCTTTGGAGATTGGCACTGGTACGTGTGGCCAGGCAGGCAACAGAAGGCATCTATGCTTGTTCCACCCAAGCTACACTGGTGTGTCCCAGCACACGCTGTACAATTTATGCTGTAAGCTTTTGGTTTTCCTTTTCTGGTGGGTCCCTGTCAGGGTTGTTGAGTCACCTATTTAGGATGAATTTGGGCCAGTACTTAGAGGACAGCCACAGCAAGATGGGCATGTCTGATATATACAATCACCTCTCCCTGGGGGTTCCGTGCCCGTGGGGAAGCCTTCTGCAAGAGTCACAGCTTTTGGTCCCCTCCCCTCTTTGGGATCCCAGTTCTCATAGCACCAGCGATTCCAGGAAATGGAAATATGGATCACTGAGGGGAGGAGTGAGAAATGTCATGCTGGAAACCCAGGTCTTATTGAACATCCAGATGGAGTGGCCCTTCTGCAGGACTCTTTGGGTATAAAGTGAGAGCCAGTCATGGGGATGTTGGGCTCCAAAGCTGGGACCCTGGGATCACCTGCCGACAGGCCCTGGGGGTCCACGGTTCACCAAGGTCAGGGAAGTTCTGCCTCTGAGGAGACTCACTCAGGGTAACTGAGCCCCAGCTCCCTTCTCCCATCCCTTCTCCGCCTCCCAAGCCCCGCGTTCTGGCTCCTCTGCCCTGTTCCAGGGCTTCTCAGCAGAGGGAGAACCTCCGGGAGTTGATGTTCATCTTGGTGACTCCGATGAGCTTGAGTGGCGTGGAAAGACTGAAAGAGGAGGCCAGCGGGGAGTCGCAGAAGAGGTCTGACAGCTCATCCCGCTCCTCCAGCTCGTAGGTGGCGTCGTTGAGCATCCGCCTGTGGAGGTCGCAGGTCTGCTCGATCTTCAGCTTGTTGATGTCGCTGCGCAGGCGCATGAGCTGCCGGGCCAGCTGCTGATCCTGCAGGCGCATCTCGGTCTGAAAGAGAGCAGGGGGTCAGCGCCGAGCTGGGGGGGTGGGGGGCTGCAGCTCCACCGACCCGCTCGCAGGAGACCGAACTAATGGTTTGCGTCATCAGTTGGTCCACTAGGAGATATTAGCATGTCCCCAGCTCCGGGAAGTGAAAAGGAACACCTAGCGAGGCGACAATACTTTGTGCTAAGCTAGAAGCCACGTCTAAATCCTTCTGGAGGAGGTGCATGTCAGTCCCGGCTTAATGGTATTCCCAGCCCAGTCTCCTTGTTTACAGATATGCGCAGATAGAGTAAGAGTATGAAGAAACTAATGGGAATGATAAATACTAAATTCAAGTCACCCCTGGGCAGGAAGGAGGGAATGTGATTGGAGAAGTTACATAGGAACTTCAACTTGTATTGGTAATGTTTCATATCCTATGTTGGGTGGTGGGTATGTTGCTATACTCTTCTTCTTTTTGAATTAAAAAAAAAATTATCCTCACCTGAGGATATGTTTACTGATTTTAAAAAAAAAAAAATTTTTTTTTTGAGAGAAAGAGAGAGAGAAAAACATTGATGTGAGAGAAAAACATTGATTGGTTGCCTCCTGTATGCACCCAACCAGGGATTGAACCCACAGCCTAGGTATGTGCCCTGACTGGGAATCAAACCCTCAACCTTTTGGTGTGTGGGATAACACTCCAACCAACCAAGCCACCTGGCCAGGGCTATAGTATTCTTTAAACATTTTAGAAATCCTGCAATATTTCTTAATAAAGTTTTAAAAGAGCCAAGCATAAATATACGCTAATATTTATTGAATGTTTTCTTATAAACCAGACACTGTTCTAAGCATTTTGGGTATGTATTAGTCAGCTCAGGTTGCCATACAAAATACCATAGACTGGGAGGCTAAAACAACAGACATTTATTTCTCACAGTTCCAGATGTCAGGAAATCCAAGATCTAGTTGCAAGCTGATTCAGTTCCTAGTGAGGACCCTCTTCCCGCCCAGCCACTTTCTCACTGTGTCTCACATGATGGAGAGAAAGTTCTTTCTTTCTCTTTTTATAAGGACACTAATCCTATCATGGGGGTCCACCCTCATGACCTCAAAACCTAATCACCTCCCAAAGGCCCCACCTCCAAATACCATCACATTGGGTTAGGGCTTCAAGGTGTAAATTTGGGGGGGACACAGACATTCAGTCCATAACAGGGTTTATTAGTATGTAACAGTCAATCTTCTACAATTCTGTCAAGTAAGTCTACCATCATCTCCACAATTTATATATGAAGAGGCAGAGGCTCAGCAAAGTAAGTCACTATGTCAAGTCACAAAGTTCATATGTGGCAGAGCTGGGATTAGGAACTCAGACTCAGGAACCCAAGCTAGTGGCAACTAAGTTCTTCTGCCTCTTCAGGTAGAGTTGGAGTGGGGGGTACGGAGTGAGTTCTGTGATCAGGGACCTAGTAGGAGGTTCATAATATTTCTAGTGCCTCAGTGTTTCCAATTAGGAAGGGATGTGATGATAACTCCTCACCTGGTCTAACATGTACAATTTCTATAACTCATCTACATGTTAACCTGGTTGGAACCACACAGCCAGTCCTGAGGTATTTGAGTATTTCACAAATCCAGGGAGTTTCGGTGAGTTGTTCAGTTTCACAGTTGTGCAGTAGCAGAGATGGAATGGGAGCTCGAGGGATCTCTTGAGGGTCTTAGTGCAGAGTGTTTTCCATTAACAATACTGTCACTGAGGTCACCTGCTGCTCCCACTTGACACAAGGTCTGATTCCTTCTTACCCTTTATTCTGCCCATGCTCACAAGTAGTTATTGTTTTAGCGTGTTTGTGTCTTCTTTTTTGTGTGTCTCAGCTGTGTTGTTCACCTGGTGCTTGGAGCCAAACTGATTTAGAAAAATCAACCATGAGATCCCAGAGGGACCCTCCCTGTGTTTATGTAAAAAGATCCAAATGGTCTCTTTTCCCCTGTTCAGATTTCGAATCAAGTGCATTGCAGGGTAGAAAAATAAGCAACTTCACAGGTAAGCATTTCATTTATTTTTCTCTTTCATTTTTTATGTACTTCTACAGATCTCTTCCAATTTTATAGATGAAAGAAATCAAGATAGAAAGTCTTGCTTGGGAATAGCAAAGTATTTAGTGGCAGAATCAGGGTTAAATTTTTTAGCCTCCACTTAGTTTACTTCTCAAACCTTAGGCATAACATCCTAAATTTATTGCCAATCAGAATCTATTGCTCTAGACGAACACCCAACTAATGATGGCAGGCATGCCCTGGGGCAGCTGGTCATTTATTCACTCATTTGGAGGCCCTAGCCATGCCCAGAACTGGGCTAAGTGCTGCCTTAACCCCTTTGAAGGAAACAGTGGTCAAATTTATCTGAAAGACAAAGCTGGCTCACACTCATGGTTTTATTTGATAAGGCCTTCTGGGAGTATTACTCAAACCACTTCTCCTTTGGGGTATTTTGTAATTTGAAAATAGATCTCTGAAAAGGTAGGAACCCTATGATTTAGATTTGAACTTTGGCCTCAGGAAGTGGATCTTTAGTTTGAAAAGGCCTTTTAAAGTTGGAGACTCTCTGGTTGAGAAGGTGACTGGGAGTAGCTGTGAGACGTGGCCTGCAGTAGGTACCTGGTGGGGGCAAGGGGCCATTTTTCTATGGCCATAGATCTAGTCAAAGGTCAGAGGAACAATTTAGGGTTTAAAACTCAGAATCAGCTGGACAGAGGGGTGATGGTAAGATACATGCCCAGTGTCCTTTGATTGGACAAAGACCACCTTGGTGGAGCCACCTCATGAACCCATTCAGGATGCACTCAACTCTGCAGAAGAGAAAGAAAAGAAAGAAAATCACACTTCCAGTAGGGCTGGCGACTCTGCCCATAGTGCTTGTTTGTACCCCAACACGAGGAGTGGGGGAACCTGCAGGCCTTAGTTCTGAGAGCCGCTCATAGTGTGAGCATCCCACCCTGGGAGTCTCTCAGAATATATATCTTGTTATGACCCCTGAACATAAATCGGCTATTTCATTTGATGCTTAAAGAAACAGTGTTTGCTCCAATGCTACAAGACAAACCGGCAGTGGTAGTCCTGTTCTCCCCTACTCTGTGGGCCACACAGGGGTTTTCCAGGGTGACTTTACACCTTAAACACTAACTTGAGTCCCTGTTAAAAGGTAACCCAACTGTAACCATATAGAAAAAAGTTTCCATCACCTCTGAAGAAACCTAAGCAAAATGTGCAGGGCTCAGAGGTGCTTTTTTTCTAGAAATTTTTTCAATTGTGGTTAAATACACATAACATAAAACTTATCATCTTAACCATTTTAAAGTGTACAGTCCAGTGGCATTAAGTACATTTATATTGTTGTGCAATGATCACCATCATCTATCTTGCAAAACTGAAACTCTGTCCCCATTAAACAACCACCTCCCATTCCCCTCCTTCCAATCCCTGGCAACCACCATTCTACTCTCTGTCTCTGTGAATGTGACCACATATGAGTAAAATTTATTCACCTCATATGAGTAAAATCTACAGAATTTGTCTTTTTGTGGCTAGTTTATTTCACTTAACACAATGTCCTCACGGTTCCTACAGCTAAGGGGATTTTTATAAATTAAATATTTTCAGAAAATTTTAATGAGCGTCTGTCTTTGCAGATCTTGTGTAGAGTAACAATGGCAGTTCCTGAGGATGGTTCTGGAGAGCAGGGTCTGGGGATGGGGCAACTTCTTCCTTTTTCTTTCTTTTCTGCCAAAGAGACATCTGGGGCAGCGATGACAACCCCCCTCCCGCCTTCTGCCACATAATGTCAGTGCAGTTTCCTATATTATTTTGACGCATTTTCCCTAGAGATGGATATTTTGATCTGTTTCATGGTTGAGGAAACCAACGCAGAGAAGTTAAGGAAATGGGCATGGTGGCGCTTGGATCACACGGGGGCCCATCAGAGCCCAGAGCTGGTGACCTCTCCATGACTTCTATTGACCTGAAGGGAGGCTGGGTCCCAGGGGCAGCAGAAATGGGAAATCCATTGCTCTGGGGTTAGACTCTGGGCTCATGGTAAACCTTACTCCTCACTAGCTGTGTGACTTTGGGCATTACTAATGCTCCTTGAATTTCTGTCTCTTCTACAGAAAAGGCATCGTGCCTATTCCAAGGGCGGTGAGAAGCAAATTAGGTGGTAAGTAACATGCCAAGTAAGCTGAACAATGCCAGTCAGGTAAAGACAAGTGGTTCACAGCTTAAGCCTTTTCTCTCCAGACCAAGGTGCAGGATATGGAAACAAGCCAGGGCCTCCCAGTTTTAAGCCTTTATTAAGGAAACTGAGATGCTGGCCCCAGTCACTCAACTATAATGTGGATTTAATGCACCCCTGGCAAAGGCTCAACTGTGGGATGTGACGATTTCTAATTCCCCATCCCAGGGAGAAAGGCACTTGCTGGATTCTCAGGGGTGCGGCCCATAATCCCAGCAATCCTGTAATTAGGGTATAATACTTGGTGAAAGGGCAAGAAATGTCACTGTGTCGCTGTCAGCGCACTGTGATGACAAGGCGTGTTCCCATCAGGAGAAAGTGCACGAAGGGGGTGCGGATGACCAGTGGTCTCTTGCAATAACTGTGTTTGTGGTCTGTGCTTGGCTGTAGCCAACACAAGTTTGTTTCCTTGAGCCAGCACCTGGTGGCTCTGCCTAAGTTATTCTCCTTGTCATGGAATGGGCATGGCTGCCCCATCCCTCCTATGGGGCCATTATGAGGCTTTGCTAATAGCTCTCTGTAACCCTTGGCATGTGTCCTATTCTGAAACTGCAGGGTTTTAACTGCAGGTTTTTTGACAAATCATGGCCCCCCTGACTCGAACACTTGATGTGAGTACCTATACCTTGTACAGAGGAAAAACATCTGGAGCCAGAGCCAGGGCATGCAGGTCTCTGTCTTGATTTAGCCACATCCTTGCATATAACCTTGGGCAAGTCAACCTCTGTGA